TTGCACTAGAAATTATAGACCAGTTTAAAAGGTCATTGATATTATGATGTCACCATAGGTGGGATAAAAATCTTTTACAGTGGAAATTTTTGTTTATAACTATATTCTTTTTCTACAATATCATTGCATTTTCCTTTAAAAGAAATTTTTAAAAATGATTTCTAAGGATATAGTATGGTCTGGTGCTTAGGACAGAATAAAAAAAGTACAAAACTCCAGGTTCCATTTTTGAGTTTTGCCCACAGGACAGGTAGCAAGCTTAGTATCTGTGTCTCCCCATTAAAAACTATAGAAGTTTAATTACTATTTATCCTCAAAGGTATTTAATTATCAGCAGGGATGTTGATGCTATTTAGTGATCTTCAGATCAAAGCATTTTAAACAGGCATCATTTCAACAGTGTACAAGAGCAAAAGCTAAGAAATTGCCTTTAACGTGAGGTTCATCTCCTCCCTCTTGTTAAATTTTTTTCCCTGTAATGCATCAGTAACCTAGATGCTGAAGCTGAGATGTATGAAGAGCACTTTTGAGAGTGAGAAAATTATTTTCTTTGCCTTTTGTATTGTTTTCTGCATAAAAAATTGCAGATATTTTGCAGATGAAAGGTTTTATTTAAACAGAGCTTATGGGGGTCACATTTTACATGACAGCAGTACACACTGTCAAAAGCATTTAGTTAAAGGGCAGTGAAATGGACAAGGCACAAGCATCAAAGGGGAAATACAGTGCTTGCTTCGAAACGTAGTTATCACTGGCTTGAGTGTTTTTCCTAAGCTGGGAGGGGCTTTGGGTTATTTATTATGTTTATATGTTTTTTTCACCAATTTGAGTCTTCATACAAGTGGAAGCAAGTTTTTTTTTAACGGGGACAGTTGCGTTGGACCTTTGAATTATTTAGCCCATAGAAACATGAAAACAGGCATCATAATTCTTTCATGTTTTGTGTTTGATCTCCCACTTTCTCTCATGTTTTAGCCTCCAGAGCCGGGAGGACCCCAGGACTACTTCTGTTTTCCAACATCTCTGAGTCCCTCTGTTCCACCTTCTATCAGTGGTTGTGTTAGTTCAACAGTGTAGGGTGACAGTGGTCATAGTTAATTACTAATGAATGTTTCATTTTTATCTGTAGTATTAGTGATACAGGAAAATAAAAACTCCCAACCTGAATGATACCTGGGACAAGTTCGTGTTCTCTAAAATCAAGGAATGAATTTTAGGAACCATGGGTTAAGAGCAGAACATATTTATTGAGGGAAAGAAAGCTGTCCAAGAGAGGGACAGAAGGGGGCCCGAGTGGGTTGCCAAGGACCTTGCCCTTCCCCGGGACTTTATAGAGCAAAGCCCCAAGGTGAGGTGGGTCTAACATAGGGAGAAAATGGGAAATTACAAGGTGGGCTTGCGGTGGGACAAAACTATGGTCAGCCAATAAGATTACAAGTATAATTGTTCAGGTAAACTTGAGTAAACGGGGATCAAATGGGGAAGCGAGTCACGTAGCAAGTGGGCATGAATACAGAACAGGGGCTTTTCCTGTAGGGGGATGGGCTAGTGGCTCTTTCTAGCTTTTTGAAGGTGGTTGTTACTTATTTAGAATACCAGTCCCTGATGTTCACACCTAGGGAGGTATGTGGGTGCATTTGTTTAGTCCTTTTGTCTTGAGGTCTGGCCCACAGGTATCTTGTCTTTTATGTTGGCTCCTTGGAGGGCCTGGCCCTGTCTGACTGCCCATAATATTTCTTTTTTTTTTTTTTTTTTTTTTTGGTTTTTCTCCGGTACCGGGAACCGAACTCACGACCTTGCGCTTGCCAGGCAGGCGCTTTTGCCGCTGAGCTAAATCCCCAGCCCCTTGCCCATAATATTTCTATCTAACTCAGCTGCCTATGACATTACTTTGCCAACAAAACTGCTGTGAAGTTAATTACCTGGCAATTTTTAAAAGTATAAAATTGAAAGAAATGGTCTTTGCTGTTAAATTGTCATGGGGATCCACTTTTGTCATTACAGGATAGCAACAGATTCCTTTGATAACTAAGCCAAGCAGGTCAGCTGCTCCCTGTTGTTCAAATGGTTGATGAAATATTCACAAGACTCAAATCTGGCAGTCTGGAACCCATGGCTCTGCAATTTGGCTGTGTGTGATTGTATGCTTTGTAGATTGTTCATATTCTTTGAGTCTTGTTGAAAAATGTTTGTCTTTTGACCTGCTGAGCTCCTAACATTTAAAAGAGAATATGTGGCTTCCACAAATCATGGCACCCCAAGCAAAAAAGCTTTGCTTGCAGACCCCGTCACTGAGAGAGCCAGTTGGCCCAAGGCACTCCACGGAGTGGCACTGTTCAGCCTGTGCCGGGTGGACCAGGATGTTCAGGAAAAGCATACTGGGCTTATAGGCTGAAGACCCCTGTCCTGCCTCGCTGCAACTGTTCTTCTCCATGAAAATTCAAAGGTAATTCTAACATTTGTTTAATTAGGAAATTTCCATGTGCTTGTAGGGAAAGCACAAACATAATCTCCATTTTAGGATGGTCAGGTTTAATGAACAAAAATACATGACATTGGTAAAATCTGAATTTCATACAACAAGTAAGTGCCAGGCATCTTGGCAGCTTGTCTTTTACCTGGAAACCCTACTCTTCCGTTCTATTAGTTTTAACCCCACAAACAGGTTATACTTGGTAGTATTATCTATAGTAAATTTGGGGAGGATTCATGAACACAGTATAGATTAAATATGATTTTCTTCCAGTTAATGCCACTTAATTTAGTTTGGGAAGCATTTACTGGGCAGTGTTTTTTTTGTTGTTTTTTTTTCTTCAGGTAAGAGAAATCGAACTCATGACCTTGCGCTTGCCAGGCAGGCGCTGTGCTGCTGAGCTAAATCCCCAGCCCCTAGTGGGCAGTGTCGAGGTTTTTATAAATATCTCAAGGCACTGGGTTCCAAACTTGGGTACTTATTGGAACTAGCTCTCTGCCCCTCTTGGCTCCTGTTCTGAGGCAAGTGGGAGGAAGAAAGGCAGGCTGCACAGAACAGCAAGCGGCAGGGAAGAGCCAGGGCTGGTTTATTGGAAAGAACAGGAAAACCCTAGCTAGAAGCGGACTCGGAGAGGGCAGACAGGAGGGCACAGCCTGCAGATCTGCGCTGTTTGTTGCTGTTTCTCTCCGTGCTTCCCAGCGCTGGCGGATTTTATCAGTTCTTTGTCTTTTGCAGCTCCAGCTTCCTTCCAGGCTTATCTCACTTTGCCTTCAGGTTACTCAGCTTATTTCATTTGTTCAGGCCTTTGCCCTTTGTCCCTTCATTTTCACGTCTCACTATCAGATCTAGAGAACTAATAAAGTGCACTGAAGTATGAGGAAGATGGCCTTGATGTTCCCCTAGCTGGACTCCTTCAGACAGTTTCTTCCCGAGGAAGAAATCAGGCCCCTGATTTCCTTTCCTTAGAGGACTGCTTCAGAAAATGTGCAGCTGTAACCTCTTCCTGTCCCTTGGGTAAGTCTTCTCGCCTCATCCCAGGTTTGCAGGCCACGGTCTTTCTCAAGCAACCGTCCTTCAGTCAGCGACACAGTGCCCCTCTTTCCCAGTCTCTGTGCATATGTGGGGAGCAGAGAAAAAGAAGCATAATTGCAATGGGAGACAATTAGCAAACAGAGGCCTAACCACACTGATGACAGCTCCTATAAAGACCTCCACTGAATCCACTCCCTACACAGTGCTTACAAACCTTCCTGCCTTTTGTTTTTGTGGAGTGGAGTCTTCTATGGGCTTTTTCTCCTGCTGCAGCAGCCAGTGTAACATTTTTTTAAAAGTATTTTTAACAAATATCCGACCTGTTGTAGTTTGGATCTAGATGTTCTGAAAGAGTTCATGTTCTCAGAGGTGCTGCTTCTGGAAAAGATTTGGACCGTGGATGGGTTAGCAGCTGACCTGCTGTTAGGAGATGAGCCTGGTGGTCACTGGGAGTGTGATCTGGAGGCGTGTATTTCCCTTCCTGCTCTTTGCTTCGCTCTGCTTCCTGCTGCCCTGATGTGAGCAGCTTTCTTCCTTGGCAGGCTCTTCCTCGGTGCCCTTTCCCTCCTGGGGCCTGCTAAACGTGGACTGAAAGTTCTCAACTGTGAGTCAAAATAGGTTGCGCTGTTCAATAGTTAGGGACAGTGCATTGCTATTTGACAGGGAGGATAAGGCCTGAGTGTGATTCTTTCCTAAATTCTTCCGATGATTCTGATGCCGAACCAAATTTGACAGCTGCTTTTTCTTTTTGTTGTTTAGTCTTTTCTCTTGTAATATTATATAAAACACCACAGTAATATGTTTAAAATTTATAACTATGAGGGAAATATATAGTGCCCTGAGAAATATTATTCCTTCCCTTCAGTGGCATCTTTTTTAATTAAAAAACAATAAAGTTAATTGTTTCTCACTCTACTTTGTCCCTTTCCCCAACTCCTTCTGGTAATGATTCTCACCCTGCGAACCTACCTGATATTCTTGATGCGTGAAGAACGTTGCCAAGGTCTTTCCAAAGGATGAAATTCATTCTATGGAGGTGAGGAAATGGGGTGTGATAAAAAGAGGGGTGCAGAGTAGATCAAAGCTCCTTCTTGGCTCTGCTCTTTGCAGCCCATACCTCGTTGAGGAAACATGGTGTGGCATTCTTGGCATGCCCCTCAGTTTGTCTGGGTGAGTTGCTAAGCAAAGAGATAATATTCTCCTCTTTTTTGTTGGTTTGTTTTGTTTTCTTGCTTCCCAGCACAGTGCATAGCAACAAATAAAAGCTTAATATTACAGTTTATAACTGGGTGTCTCTCCAAAGCTTCATGCTGCGCAGGTGGGCAAGGGATTGCCTCATGGGGCTGTGACACTCATCTGGCATGAGTCCACTGATGAGTTTATAGCTAACTGTGGTGTTCAGAGGTTAAGCCTGAGGAGGTAGGTCATAGCGGGTGTGGCCTGACAGGATCCTCTCCCTCCTCACTCCTTGATCTCTTTTCTCTGATTCCTGACACCTGCCATAGACTGTTTGTCCTCTTCAATGCCCTCTGCCATGCCCCCTGCCTTGGAGCCAGCCAACTGTGGACTGAAACCTTCACAAACTGTAAGCCAGAATACACCTTCCCTCCTTCAGCTTGTGAGAGTTGGGTATTGAGTCTCAGTAATGAGAAAAAAGTAAGTAAGACAATGAAATATTTTCTCTAAACTTTTGCAGGATATTTTCTTCTCTTTTCAGTCAGTGTGTACCCTAACGTGCCTGCCTTCCTTCTCTCTCTTCCTCCTTTCTTCCCTCCCTCCCTTCCTCTTTCCCTTTCTTTCTTTTAACTAATACTATGTCAAATTAACATAACTTTTCATGTGAAATTTCTTTGTGGCACTTTATTTGTTAATGGGACAGGAAGGCTACTCCAAATTAGAATAGGTAGGAGATTAGTAACTTTATTTTTCTTGCAAAAGAATTACCAATTCTAAATCACTTAATATATTTATAATATTATTCAGTGAGTCTAAATGTTTTCAGTTAAAGCCACAAACTTAGGCAGAATACTTCATTTTTTCTAGTTCACACAATGAAGTAATACTGAGGTTAGAACTCATTCTTGGTCTCTTAACCATTGCTAATTTTCTATTCATTAATTACCATGGGCCTACACCATATTAAGTATTGGGAACACAAACACAAATACAATTCTTACATATTAGAGTTTAGGTGAGGACACAAAAAACAAGTTAATGTCATATTATTTAGGAAACTCTTTGCCTAAAATATGAGCAAATGTTTCTACTCTGCTTTTAATGACTCTTCTTTTCTAGAGAATTTGTATTAATATTTTGTTTTTTTAAAAAACATGCAATAATAATTTTTGCTTTAGATTAACTTCTACTTGAACTGAATGTTTTAAAAAGAACTTTATTTCTTGAGCAGGAGCTTTTGACAAATAGTACGTACCAGTAACTAAGGACTGGGATCTTGGAGGTTTTTGGTTTTTATAGATACTTTTTACACACACCTACCTGACTACCCCTCTGGACTGAGGTAGAGAATGAAAAGCACTGTTAGTGTTTCCTTTGTAGTGTGAGTTTATAAAAACTACCATGCAAGCTAAGATAGTGCAAAATAATTGTGTTAAATCATGCAGATTAGAACATTCTGAATGGAAACCAATCATGATTTTGAGTAGCAGATAGAAAGATGAAGAAGTAAAGGAGAAAGAATATTCACAAATAAGTCTATATTCTTCATTGTACTAGAACAGAGCTTCTTGGACTTGAACTATTGACATTTGGGGCTTTGTTGTACAGGGTATTCTGTGTACTGCAGGTTTTTTTAAACAGTATCCTTGGCTAGCTGTCAGTAGAACCCTCAAAATTTGATAGACAGAAAGTCCCCAGACATAGCCAAGGGTCTCTGGGGGACCAAATCATTCCACACTGGGAATCAATGTACCAGATCAAATATTTAGATGTGATAATCATAATCATAAAGATTATGATTTAGTAATCATAAATTATCTAATCAGATAATCATAAATCATTGTCTTTGGATACGTGATTGTGCTTGTCAGCTTTCCATTGCTATAACAAGTATTTGATGAAATTAACTTGTAACAATAAAAAGTGTTTTTAGGTCATGACTTTAAATATTACAGTTCATAATTAAGTGGTGCCATTGTTTTTAAGCCTTTGGTGTGGGTGCCCAGTGGCAGTGGTGGAGAGTTCATGGTGGGACAGAATGACTCAAATAGTGTTTAGAAATAAAAAGAGAGGGAGAGGAAAGGCTGGGATTATACTTTCCCCTGCAAAACGCATCTTCAGTGACCTGGAGAACTCCCATTAAGTCTCACATCCTAAGAGTTTTACTACCACCCAGACACGCTCAACTGAGGAGCTAGCTTTTGTCATACAGACCTTGGGGATGCTTATGATCCAGATTTAGAATCAGTAAAGTTTTATTGGGATGGTCTATAAATTAAGGACCAAGAAATACTGATCTTCACATACAAGGAAAAGGCATCCATGGTGACATGAACTTCATCTGCTCATGGAATAGCTCTCAGAGGTATTTCTGTGTTAATTTAGTCTTGTTGAAATGTATGAATGGGAAATATGGCCGCAGTTGTTCTCTTTCTGAACCCGTTGGTTATGATGTCTTTGTCTGGGTTGGTACCGCATACCTGCACTCTCATCCTTAGGCCTTGGGCTTGTAGAGGTTAAGACTTGATTAAAAACTATGTGTGAGCCAGGTGTTATGGCACATGCTGAAACTTGGTGACTTAGTGAGATCCTAAAAATACAAAAATAATAAAATGGTTGGGGTTGTAACTTGGTGCAAAGGCTCTTGGTTCAATCCCCAGTACTATAAAAAAAAATATGCAGAACAAGCAGAAAGATTCACAAAATCATACCCCAAAACTGTGTGTAGGTACAGTGCATTTTTCTTAGCAGATTATATTAAAAATAACCTTTATAGCAAAGTCCATGTGCAGCAACAACAACACATCTTTGTAAGTCATTAAATATACTGGATCTCCATCTGGACATAAGAGAAAACATTTTGATGCATTTTCTTTTTCTTTTACAGAGGCTCTAAGTAACATAAAATTTCCACGATTGGGTTATGAATCCTAAAAAGACTGCCTCCTGCTTTCCAGTAAACATTCTGTAAATTCTTTCCCACTTTAATAGAGACATTTCTTCCTTTAAAGTGTGCCACATATCATCCAGGGGCATACCTTCCCCTGTACCTACCCTATAAAGCAGCTAAGGTCTGCTTCCTGTCATAAATACTTGTTGCATGTCTGACTTTCAATCAGCATCAGGAAACCAAGGACATGCACATTAATTTTAATTATCTAAAGAAAGACTTCACCTCTTTCTCCCACCTTAATTTTAGACATCGTCAATCATATAAAGACCCGGAAATGAAAGGGCTTTCTTCAACCAAATATTGGTGGAGTCTTTTGGCACATCTTTTAAAATCCAATAGAGAAGTGTCAGATGAGAAATTTAATCTGCAACAATTGTTTGTAGGACTTTCTCACGAGGAGGGCAACCAAAGGGGTGGTCTGCTCCACCCAGACACTGTTGAAGTAAGAGACGGATCCCTGGACGTCAGGCCACACTGCTACACGCATGGCTATTCCAATGTCGTACACAGTGTGTCTACTTCAGCCTCAGATAATACACTCTTCTGTTGGAATACTATCTTTTTATTTTTACATACAGTACTTTACTTAGTTTTGATTAGATCATGACCACAGCTCCAGTGCCTTTTAGTTCTACAATGCTGACTCTACAATTCATATCATTTTTTTCTACTTCCTTAAAACTCATCTCCAAAAACAGACTAGAGTGTACCTGTTACACAATGAACATCCTGATTTCTTTTTAGAATAACCCTCTTTTTCATAGAAGAATATTTAATTCTTTTGTAAATATTTCTATCCATCAACTGTTTTTGTTTGTAGTATAGATTACTAAACTTTTGTAGTAACAGTATGTTTAGCTTTTGAATGGATCCAATTAATGAAAAATGCTGTATATTTAAATTTATTGAAGTTGAGCCTATTAATCTAAGTGAGAAAAAAGTGACTAGTTTTGGAATTGTACATGAACTGCCATTAAACATATTGAACAATAATTTCTCTTAATTTTGGTGAATTTCAAGTTAATTCTTTTCTTAGAAATTGAAACCTAATCTCTGTCCACAAAATGTATGTGGAAGTTTGATAGAATTTGAGTGTTAGAAGAAAGATGGAGGATCTGCTTTCTTGAGAAAAGTGATACTTGTAGGACAAGAAGGTTGCACCCAGGACAGTACCTCAGCAGGGCCCTGATTATGCAAAAGCAGCATACTTCCATCCCAGGCAGCCCTAGGCAGGGCTTCTACTCCCCAAGACCGGCTACTATGGGAAGACAGTGGGGACACAGAGGTCCCTGGAGGTGATGGCAGTGACTACAAGTTTGCCTGTAAGAAAGCAACCTCCAGAAGGAAAAGTTGGGGGCAGATAACATAGCAGATTTATTCTTTCCCTTTTAGGACCTGCAGAAATACTTGGGCAATGGCCCTTCTGGGTGTTACAGTCCTTCCCCCGTGAACCTGTGGGAAAAGTGAACCAGTGAATGTTGGACAATCACTGCTCCACAGGCTGGGGGGATCTAGACACATCTACAGCATTGCTATCTATGAGATTCAAAATCACTGTGATTAACCTTTTTAAAAGAAGGATGCATCAAATTGCAAACAGTTTAAAAAATACAAACAGCATTTGATTGATATTCACTAATATAATTTTGTTTCCACAATCTGGGTTAATTATAAAAGTCTAAATTGTTTCTGTGTATATTAATGCGTTTAATAATTAGATGAGAAGGAGGGAGACAATATAGTTCAGAAACAATTCATCAACATTCTGCAAACATAGCCTATAAGTTGTATCAGTATTCAGAAAGATTATATTCTTAGTCTGGGAATTTTATTACATGTTAAATTATTAGATAACTTATTTTGGTAATAAAATTAGGTTTATAATTCTACTTTATTTAATTAGTGCTAGAACATGCATTAAGTTAAACACATTTTATTTTAGTATGTGATGCTGAAAATTGGAGATCCATAAGCAAGATGGTAGATAATTTTCAAGATATCCTATGCTATGTCATTTTATCTAAAAACTTGCAAAACACTTCAGATTAGGGATCACTAAGATATTATGGGATGTTGTGAGTCACTATTAATATATTTCATTTTGAGCTCATGCTTCTACAGTATTTATGGTTCTCATAGCTTGTGTTTCTATTGTAATACAAAACATAGAGGTATTTATTTCATTTGTAATGCTTTACTATTAAAGTGGTAGCATGTTCATCTACTTATTAAGAGATATTGAGCAAGTCATTAGCTCTTTTGGACTCAGATTTCTTACCTTTAAAGTAAGGGTAAAGGAAGGCCTAACATTAATGTGAGAATTATTAAACAGGTTCTGGTGGTTCCCAGCACCATGTTGTTCAGAACTCTCCCGCCCCCTTTGTGAATTGCAATTCTTACAAGCAGCAAAGACTTGGCTTTACATTATAATTTTTCCTCCTAAAAACCCAGGCTTACCAATTAGACTATCTCCATGTCTTACTTCTATACTTAGATGGCCTATCAACAAAGTGGAATAAAGTATTTT